CCTTGAAGTTTGGTATGCAGGCGGAAACGGCAGGAAGGTCAAGCTGACAAGTTAGCGATAACTCCTTGCTGCCTTTTCTGGCATCGCCGTTCTCATAATGTTGTACGTTTTCCTTCCTCCACGTTTATTTTTCCTCATTCTCGCCATACCCTGGGCATTCTCTCCATCCTCATCAACTCTTTTTGCGGAGGTTTCTCCTTGGAGAGCCTCCGGGGGCCTCACCAAAGTTCGCAGGCTTTCTTAAAGCCTTCTGGAGGCCTCCTGGGCGTGTTCTGGGGGCCTCTGGGGCTCCCTAAAGCCAACCTGCCTCTAACCGCGGTCTCCCTAAACGCCCCGGTCACGATTTGGAATGCTTCGGAGGGTGTCTTGGAGCCATCTTGGGCCGCCATGGGGCTCTCTTAGGGCCATCTTGGACCCCTGTTGTGCCGTTTGGGGGCTCTCTTGGACTGCCTGGAAGCCCTTTCGGATGGTTGTGATGCGATTTTGGAGCCTCCCAGGCGGCTTCGGACGCCCAGAAGACCGCCGTCTTAGAGCGTCGGAAAGCCGAAAAGAGGAGAACCCCAACCTACATAAAATCAATTATGTTTCCCTCTTGGGGGCTTCTTGGGGGTGCTCTTGGAGGCCTCTTGGAACGTTTTGGAGTGATCCTTCGGGGTATGACGGCTTCTTGGAGAGCTCTTGTGCTGTCTTGGGGGTCTCTGGGTCGTCTCCGAGGACCCCCCTGATCGCCCTAGGTGTGCTGCGAAGGCTTGGCAAAACGCCCTGCGAGGCCCAGGGGGCCGCTTCGAGGCCCGTCTGGAAGGTCCCAAAGCCCCAGATCTCGGGAGTCCGGTTTCGGGGGGGATCTCCCCGCCCGGGCTTCTCCCCGCCCGGGCTTATACAGATATGGGAAGAGGAACATGTATGTGTGTGTGTATGTATGTATGTATGTATGTATGTATGTATGTATGTATGTATGTATGTATGTATGTATGTATGTATGTATATGTGTATGTGTATGTGTATGTGTATGTGTATGTATGTGTATGTGTATGTGTATGTGTATGGGTATGTGTATGTGGATGTGTATGTGTATGTGTATGTGTATGTGTATGTGTATGTGTATGTGTGTGTATGTATGTATGTATGTAAGTATGCATGTATGTATGTATGTATGTATATGTGCATGCATGTATGTATATATGTATGTATGTATATGCATGCATGCATGCATGCATGCATGCATGCATGCATGCTTGCATGTATGTATGAATGTATATATGTATGTTTGTATGCATATGCACAGACATGCATGCATGAATGCATGCATGCATGCATACATACATACGAGCATACAGGCATACAAACATGCATACATACACACGTACATACAGACATACGCATAGATCGATTATATATATATACTATATATATGTATATATATATATACGTATATATATATATATATATACACACGAGGGTGCGATATCCAACACAAAAAAGGGGGGGAAACAAAAAAAAAACTCAACAACCGCGGTGGTGGTGGTGGTGGTGGGCGAGAAGGGGGAGCCCCGCCCCTCCCCCCGTGCAATAAAATATGGGGCGCTTCTTGGAATCTCCTAGGGGCTTTTTGGGACCGAAGGCCCGAAATGTCCGTTCGGAGTCCCTCTGGGCCCCTTCTTAGAGCCGTCTTGGGGCTATCTTGGACCGTCTTGGAGGCCTCTTGGGCTGCTTGGGTCCCTCTCGGGCTGTCTTGGGGCCGTCTTGGGAGCCTCTTGGGCCGTCTTTGGGCGATCTTGAGAACCTCTTCGGCTATCTTGGACCGTCGGAAAGCCGAAAAGGTGAGAACCACAACAAATCAGCAACAACTATAGAAAAACAACCATTTGTTGCCTCTTGTGGCCCTCTCGAAAAAGCCTCTTGGAGGCCTCTTGGGGCGTCTTGGAAGCCTCTTGGGACGTCTAGGGACTGTCTGGAGCATCTTGGGCCGATCTTGTGGCGTCTCGGAGCCCTCATGGACATCTTGGGTGTTTCCTGGGGCCGTAGTGGAGGCCTCCTGGAGGCCTCCTGGGCCGTCAAGAGGCCCCTTGGAGGCGCCCGGGCGGGGGTATCAAAAAAGGGGCCCAATGTTTTGAGGTGGGCGGGGCCCCCTGGCTGGGGACCTGATATTCCTCTTATATATATATACACATATATATATATATATATGTATATATATATATATATACGTGTGTGTGTGTGTCTGTCTGTCTGTCTGTCTGTCTGTCTGTCTGGCTGTCTGTCTGTCTGTCTGTCTGTCTGTCTCTGTCAGTCTGTCAGTCTGTCAGTCTGTCAGTCTGTCAGTCTGTCAGTCTGTCTGTCTGTCAGTCAGTCAGTCTCTGTCTCTGTCTCTGTCTCTGTCTCTGTCTCTGTCTCTGTCTCTGTCTCTGTCTCTGTCTCTGTCTGTGTTGATTTCTCTAGCTGTGTCTCTGTCTGTGTCTGTGTCTGTGTCTGTGTCTGTGTCTGTGTCTGTGTGTTTTGCATGTCCGCTTTTGCGTCCAAGACGGCCCAATGGGCCTCCGATGTCGCCCCAAGACGGCCCCAAGACTGCCCCAGAGAGCCCCGAGACTGCCCACAAAAAACCCAAGATGCCCCCAGAAGGCTCCCAAGAGAGACCCACGGAAGCCATGGGATACTTCCAAGAAGGCCACTGGAGGCCCGCAAGAGGGCCCTAGATGGTTTCAGAAGACCTCTGGAGGGCCCCAGCTCCCCAAGACGGCCCAAGAAACCCCCATGACGGCCCTAAGAGGGCCCTAGAACTGCCAAAAAGAGCCCCCAAAACGCCCAAACGGCGATCTCCTACGAAATACATCGAGCTGACCCGACAATCTTGGTTCCACGCTTGAGGCTCGAGGTGTAAGTTCCTCGATCGAGAGAGACAGGCAATGGATTTATATTCGAAGTTCGACGATCGAGGATTTCCTGAGCGTCTGGGGCCCTCCAGGCATGCAGCAAGCGACCACATACCCATTTGTTCGGAGCTACTGCGATTTTTTAGGCGTGTCATTGGAAACGCTGATTACTTCCTCAAAAGTCCTTCGCGCTTGAAAAAGTCACCATTCCTTCCCAACTCATGCGCACAATCGTGCAAGCGCATCGACCGAACGCGGTGTCAACAAGCACCAAGGATGTCGGACCAATGAGACGGTCGCCCGCCCAGGCCTCGAGGTCCCCCCTGCTGAAGCAAACGAACACTTATTGCTTTGCCTGGAAGCGTCCGGAACAAGGCGCATGGCGCCAATGCAGCCTTGTATAATATATATATATATATATACAAGACTGCAGTGGCGCTTCGCGCCATGCAGCTTGGCCCTTGACGTTTGGTATGCAGGCGGAAATGGCAGGAAGGTCAAGCCGACACTTTAACGATGACTGGTTTGCTGCCTTTTCTGGCATCGCCGTGATAATAATGTTGTTCGTTGTCCTTCCTCCATGCATATGTTCCTCATTCTCGCCATACCCTGGGAATTCTCCCCATCCTCCTCAGCTCTTTTTGCGGAGGCTCTTCCTTGGAGAGCCTCTGGGGGCCTCACTAAAGTTCTCAGGCTTTCTTAAGGCCTTCTGGAGGCCTCCTGGGTGTGTTCTGGGGGCCTCTGGGGCTTCCTAAGGCCAACCTGCCTCTAACCGCGGTCTCCCTGAAAGCCCCAGACATGATTTGGAATGCTTCGGAGGGTGTCTTGGGGCCATCTTGGGCCGCTATGGGGCTCTCTGAGGGCCATGTTGGACCCCTCTTGTGCCGTTTTGGGGCTCTCTTGGACTGCCTGGAAGCCCTTTCGGATGGTTGTGGGGCGATTTTAGAGCCTCCCAGGCGGCTTCGGACGCCTAGGAGACCGCCGTCTTGGAGCGTCGGGAAGCCGAAAAGAGGAGAGCCCCAAATGCACCAAAAATCTACATATAATCAAATATTTGTCCCTCTTGGGGCCTTCTTGGGGGTGCTCTTGGAGGCCTCTTGGTACGTTTTGGAGCGATCTTTCGGGGTATGACGGCTTCTTGGAGCGCTCTTGTGCTGTCTTGGGGGTCTCTGGGACGTCTCCGGTGACCCCCCTGATCGCCCTGGGTGTGCTGCGAAGGCTTGGCAAAACGCCCTGCGAGGCCCAGGGGGCCGCTTCGAGGCCCGTCCGGAGGGTCCCAGAGCTGCAGATCCGGGGGTCCGGTTTTAGGGGGGGGGGGATGGGTTTTCCCCCCGCCCGGGCTTAAAAAAATATAGGAATTATATATATATATATATATATATATATATATATATATATACCTCGGACCTCGCCGCCCATTCCTGCTCGCCGCAACCAGTACTGGGCCACCTAAGCCCCCCAGCCGACTCCAGGGTCAAAGAAAAGGAGGACGAGGGAGGAGGGAGATGAGGATGATGGGGGGAGGGAGCCGAGCAGAAGGCGGAGGTAGGACGAGGAGGGCTAGTAGGAGGAGGAGGAGGAGGAGGAGGAGGAGGAGGAGGACGAGGGACGATGGACGAGGGAGACGAGGGAGGAGGCCGGGGAGGAGGACGAGAAAGACGAGGAGGAGGGAGGAGGAGGATGGAGAGGAGGAGCGACCCCCTCGCGGGTCGCTGCGAGGCGCCTGACTAACTTGTCTCCGTCCTCCCACTCGGTTGCGCGCATTCCGAGACGACCTCGAGTCATGAGAAACTTACGGCGGGAGGCCTTTCGCTAACTTTTCGGCCCTCGGAGGCTCCTACCGGGCCTCGGGACTGCCCAAGACGACTCAGGATGAAAGACGGGCCCCGGGGAAGGAGTCGAGACCTCGGGGGTCGACGCCAGGAGGAGGAGGAGGAGGAGGTTGAGGAGGAGGAGGAGGTGGAGGTGGAGGAGGGAGGAGGAGGAGGAGGAGGGAGGAGGAGGAGGTGGAGGAGGTTGAGTGGAGGGAGGGAGGAGGATGGGAGGAGGATTAGGCGGCGCGCAGTAGCGGGCTGCGGCCGCAAGGAATGCTGGCCCTCGTGGAGCAGAGAGGAGGAGCGGCCGCGGCGCCTTGTTGCTCAGCCGCCAGACCTGCCCCTGCGGGAGGTCCGGCACCCTCGCGACGGCCGCGGGCCCGCGCAGGAGCGGGCACCCCGCCCGCACGACGTCCCCGGAGCGCATCCGCACGGGCACGCCGCGCGCCCGCACCACCTGGCAGCAGGGGCAGAGCGTCTGTCGGCTAATATCGGCTACACGCAAGAGTGACCCTGGGTAAGAGTGACCTTTGGTGCGCGGCGTTTTGGGGGCCGCGGAAAGACCAAACCTGGGCGCGCAAGCCGCTGCCACCGCTCCGTTTTCAGCCATCTGAGGGCCCATCTGTGCCCGCACCAAAGGTCACTCCGGCGAAAGGTCACTCTTACGTCTAGTCGATAATACGCAGGGAGTGGCCCTGCAGGCAGGAGCCCCGGGCCTGCCCGCGGCGGTGAGAAAATCACGGCGGGAGGCTCGTCGCCATCTTCTCGGCCTCTGGGGGCCCTTGCCGGGCCTCGGGGCCGTCAACAAAACGGCGCAGGACGAGCAACCCGCCCTGGGGAGCAGGTCGAGATTCTCTGAGGGTCGACGTCGTGGGAAAATCACGGCGTCGGGGGTCTGCAGGGGGGCCCCGGGCAAGAGGTGTGACCTGTGGCGCGCGGCTTGGAGGGGGCCGCGGGCCGCGGGGGGGGGTCCGCTCCGAGCTCGCTGGCCAGTGCCGGATGGACCCCCGTGGGCCCACGCACCCAGAAGGTCACTCCGGCGGGAGGTCCCTCTCACGCGCAGCCCTGGAGGGGCCCGAAAAGCAAGCAGATGGGGTCGGAGGATCGAGCCGCATCGCCGATGCTTGGCCGATGTATCGGCGACGTCGGCGCGGAGAAACTGGGCTCCACATTGAGCAGCATTCCACATTGAGCCGCATCGATGCATCGGCGATGCGGCGGGATCCTCCGACCCCATCTGCTCGAGACCCTGGCATCTAATGTTTGTTCGAGCCCGGCATGCTTAGTCGCCCTTTTCTCTGCATACTTCGGGCCCCGGGACCCTCACAGGCCGATCCACCTCGAAGAATGCCACAGGAAGATGGGGTCCAGAGTCCCAGTTGTGATTTGCCACGATGTTTCTATTTCGCGTCGTCGGATCTCAGGGGGCAGACCCACCGCTCGTAAGATGCGGGTAGAAGCATGAAGCAGGAGGGCGTTCAAAGCAGGTCCGGCGTCCACCCTCTCCCTGGAAAGGGAATCGAAAAAGAGAGAACAGCTCGAGTGTTGAGATCGGGCCGGCGCCTCGAGTCGAGTGGAGCCCGGGGAGCGCAGACAGCGTGGCACCCCGCAGCTGCGAAGGAGGGCGATGGGGGCCGGCGCGGGGTGGGTCGCTAGGCCGAGGGCTGGGCCGCGGGGGGGTCGCGGGGGGGACGACGCCATCCGCAAGCAGAAGCCGGGCCACGGAAGCCCACTGCACCCACGCACCAAGACATAGTGCAAGACCGCTTAAGGCCCCCTCACTCTGGTCTGCGCTGCGCGAGCGAGGGGTAAACCCGCGCGAAGGCCCAGACCCCCGACGTCATGAGTTTTGCGTGACGTCGACCACCCGAGATCTCGACCCATTCCCCGGGACCGGTTTTTTTCATCCCGAGTCGTGCTTTGACGGTCCTGAGGCCCGGTATAAGGTCACTCCAGAGGGCGAAAATTGTGAAACACCTCCCGCCGTGATTTTTTCATTGTTCGGGGAAGTCTGGGAAAGACGGGAGGTCTCTTGCCGTTCTCGGCCCCCGGGGGGGGGGGCGTCGCTGGGCCACGCGGGGCCGTCAAGCAGCGCAGCTCGTGATGGAACAAAAACGGTCCCCGGGAAGAGGTCCAGACCTCCTGGGGCGAGCGCGCCTCGCGCCCTGCCCCACCTCCAGGAGGAGCATGTAGAGGCCTCCTGGATGGGGTCGCAATAGGTGGGATCGGAGGATAGCCCCGCATCGCCGATACATCGAAGATGCATCGGCGATGCATCGGCGACGTTTGCGATACATCTGCGACGTCGGCGTGGGAAAAAGTGGGCCCCACATCGAGCCTCATCGGCAATGCATCGCCGATGCATCGGCGACGTGACGCGATCCTCCGACCCCATCGGCTCGGACCCCATCTGGGAGGCCTAGAGCAAAGCCAGAACACGCGGCAGATGATTCGTCTCTGGGCGGCCCAGGCTTTCGTTCCTGACACCGCGACGAACGCTCCACAGTGCAGCTTCGCGACGAGGGGCGACTGAGGCTTTGGCTCCCGACACCGCGACGAACACTCCACAGTGCAGCTTCGTGTCGGGGCGACCGGGGCTTTGGTTCCTGACGCCGCGGCGGAAGCGGCACGGTGCAGCTCCGCGACGAGGGGCGACCCGGGCCCTGGCCCCCGACGCCGCGACGACAGCGGCACGCGGCAGGTCCGCGTCGTGAGGGCGTCGGCGTTTTGGTCTCCGGCCCGGAGCGGGCGCGGCCAGCCGACGTCGCAGCGCGCTGGGTGCCGGCCGCCTCGGGGCGCACTGGCGGCGTCCCACTGCAGCGCCCGCCCACTGGCCATCGCTCGGACGTCCATTCCCTGCGTTTTTGTTCGGTTTCGTGCGTGGCTTTTTCGCCAAAAAGGATCAAGGATGCTCCTGGAGGGTCCTCGCCGAAGGAAAAGTGCGCACGTCCGAGCGATGCCAAGCCCAAGGGGCCGAAAGGCCCTGAGATCGGCACGGCGCGGCCCTGGGGACTGTGTAGGCATGCCGAGCGGGCGCGGCCGCGCGCGCCCCTCGTGAGGCCACGGCGGACGGACAGTGTGTATGGACATTCTATTCGAACCCTGTGGCCCAGGATGCCCTCCAGACCCCCCGAAATGAACGTTGATGGCGTGGCGACGGGGTGGGCGTGAGTGGACAGAGATATTCGAACCCCAAAGCACCGCCTTTGCTGAGATCAGCATTGATGTCGGGGGCGCGGGGGTGATTTAGAATCTCCCTCGAATGTGGAAGGGTTCGAATCTATTGTCCATGTACGGGAGCACGCTGTGGGAGGAGCACGCCCGTCATCCAGGGGGCTCCTGTCCTGATGCGGCTGGAACGTTTGCGCCTCTGCGGGGGCACGTCGGCGAAGGAGCTTCCCGGCCATCCTGGGGCAAGCGTCCGCGGTGGGCGGGAGAGGCTGCTCCGTCCGCTGGAAGCTAGAAGCCCACCCCTGAGAATCCGCCAAATTCCTTGCCCAGGGTCTGGTTGTCTCCGACACACATCTCAGACGAACCAGCAAAAATTGCCTACACACCTAGAGATCATCCGTACAAATTCCCCCAATCGACACTCGACCCCAATTCGCTGGCGCGCGACGCGCGCGAAAAAAAAAGAGCACGTCGGGGATCTGGGGACGCCTCGACCACAGCGGTAGCTTTTCGCCACGGACCCACTCCCAGACATGCGACGCCCTGCTTTTTTCAGCACGGGGCTCCTGGAAGTCCCAACCCCGTCCCCAGGACCGGTGCTTCTTCCCGAATCCTTTCTTTGAAGGGGCCCCAGGACACACCAATAAATACACACAAATAAACAGATTCCCCATATTCTCCCATGTTTTCTGGGTTGTTGCCTTCCCCCCCACTTCCCATATTTTCCTATATGTTTTCGGGGGAACCGACGATTCATGGTGTCTCTGTGTGGTTCTCTCCCTCCTGCTTCTTGACGCTCTGGAGGCCCGCTCGAGGGCCCCGTCGAGGTCGAAGAGGTGGCCAGGAGCCTCCCGCCCCGAGGCTCTTTCTCGCGGCGAGGTCCTTTTTGTTGGGGCTCCTGCTGCCCCCATGCGGCGCCCGATGATTAATTAACGGGCGAAGGACGGTGCAAAATATAAACTGTTTCGCCGTCGGAGGCGCCTGCCCCAGGGCGGCCGGAAAGGTTATACCCTCACGGTGGCGCCGTGGGGGTATACACTTTCCAGCCGCCCAGGGGCAGGCGCCTCCGACGGCGAGGAAGTTTATTTGTCACACCGCTCTTCGCCCGCCGAGAAGAGGGCGGCCTCCGGCAGGCCGAGCCCGAGGGGCCCCGAGGCGCGCGCGCCGTGGCCGAGGGATCGGCGGTCCGCCGGCGTGCGGGGAAGGCTCCGCCACCGTGCCCGCGCCCGCCCGGGCGCCCCCTCCCCTAGAACCCAGACCCCCTCGAGTAGTGAAAAAATCATGACGGGAGGTTTTTCTTAATTTTCGGCCTCCGGGGGCCCTCACCGGGCCTCGGGAGCCTCAAAAACCGACTCAGGATGCAAAGCCGGTCATGGGGAAAGGGTCGGGACCTCTGGAGGTCGACGTAATGAAAAAATCATTACGTCGGGGGTCTGGGTGGGTCGGGGCTGTCCTACGGGGCGTGAAAACGACCACATCCACTGCTTTTCTTTTGACGCCGCCGTCCAGCCCGCAGCAACAGAGCAGTGGTTGTGGTCATTGTCGTTGGGCTTGGCACCAGGGAAATGACCACAGCCACTGCTTCTTTTTCGGCCGGCTGGAAGGCGGCGCAAACAAGAAGCAGTGGCTGTGGTCTTTTTCCCGTCCCGCAGTCCCCCTGCACTGAGCAGGGGCCGACCGTCCCGGCATTCCTATGGGCCTACCACAAGATGTTCCTAGAGAACCCAAACAAGTCCGAAGAACAAAGACAAGGCTCTTAGAACAGAAGCCTGAGGTGGTACAGCAAGACAGGCTCCGCCAGACATGTTCTAAGAACATTTCGTGGAAACCACAAAAGGTTCTTAGAATATTGCTTGGTAGAGCTATAGGCGACCCAGGTCCCTTCGCCACTGCATGAAAATGCTGGGTGAAAACAAAAAAAGATGCTCCCAAATGCTCCCAACTAGTCCAGCAAATCGTCCCCTGACTATTTGCTCCCATCTTGATAAAACAAAAAAAAAAAACATCCTGCAGAGGGACAGGTCCGACTTGACCCTGAGGCTCTCCTCCGAGCCCCTCCGACGCCCGAGGCACTCCGGCCGCCCAGCGGGCTCCCCTCCAGGAAGACGGCGGCCGCCCGGCCAAACTCGGCGGCCGAGCGGGCTCGATGCCGAGCCCGCCCGGCGGCCCCCTGCGCTCAGGGACGCCCCGCCCAGACATCTCCGGCGCCCTGACTCTGTCGCTGCGGGGTCCCCGAGGATCGCGCCCCCTTCCGCGGGACCACGGCGTGCCATCCCAAGTTCTCCGGGGAGTCCGCACACCGCCCCCCCCCCCCCCCCCGGCTCGACAGCGGCGAGTACCCTCCGCCTGGACTGCTGTCTCGAGACGTCGGGTCTGGGCTCTCGGGGCACCGCCTGGGCCTGCCGCGGCCGTGCGGGGCGATCCGCGCACGCCCGAAGCGCTCACGGCGAGGCGCAGCCGCTGGAGAGCACTCCAGGGATGAAGAGCCTTCAGAAACTGACGAGAAGTGAGCGTTTTCTGGCTCGGCGTTTCGACATTGGGCGGGCGGCGGGGGGAAGGGGGGGGGATCTGGCTCGGGGCCTCTGCTTAATGCTGCGGTTTGCAGCAGTGCGCCCTGTGGGGGGAGGCTCCACCGGCTTGAAACAGGCTCCAGACGCAGCCCAAATCTACTCCACGGGGGAGGGGGGGAGGGGGGGGGAGAGCCCGCGCCGATCGGCAAGATAATGAATAAGAAAACGATCACAGGCTGTGATTCAACGGCTGTCTGGGAATGGGCCCAGACCTGGAACCCTCGGAGGCGACGAAAGGGGCGCACATAGCCCAGCGGCGGGCTTTTCACGCACCTCTCCGGGAGCCTCGCCGAAGACATGCGGCGCCCCTGGACAATTACGTGCATTGACTTCGACGTGCTGATACTTTTTCATGACGTCGACCGCCAGGAGGTTTCGACCTACTCCCTGGGACCGGTTTCTCATCCTGAGTCGTCTTTTGACGGTCCTGAGGCCCGGCAAGGGCTCCCTGAGGCCGACGGTTGTGAGAAACCTCCCGCCATTATCTTCCCATGACTCGAAGGGGTCTGGGCGTACTGCTCCCCCCTGGGCTCTTCACCCCTTCCGGCGCCTCCGAGACCCTGCGCCCCCCCCCCCCGTCGACCTGCGCGTTGCCGGCCCGGACGATGCGCGAGTCGGGGGGCGCCCTGGCAGCCGAGGCGGGCGGCCCGCGCACGACGCCATCCCCGCCTGCCGCGGCGCCGGGGGCCGCCACGGCGCCGACCCACGGCGCCGTCATGTGCGGGGCTGCCGGGGCTGCGCGGGTCGGACGAAGGTGGGGTAGCATTAAGTCGGGCCTGTCCCCCTACAAGGGGAATTTCGGACGAAAAATAAAACACAGTAGAAATATATATAATATACTCCCAAATGGCAAGAAGTACTCAAAACATAGCCCCCTGACTATTTTTTGACAACTTTTGAATCGTCTTCCCCCCTGTAGGGGCACGGGCCCGACTCAGGGGTGGCAAAGGGCGAGGGGGAGTATAGGGCCTGTGCGGGGCCGCACCCGATCATATACCCCCTGGCCTGCGCCCGTGGAGGCCGTGATTGGAAAATTCAGGTGTGGCGTGCGCGTTTGACAGCAGGGGCGGGCTCCGGGACCAACCCCGGCTCCAATTTTGGAGTCCCGCAACGGTGCGGTGACGGACCGTGCGGTGGCCTCGAGATCTCCCAAGACCTCACCGCACGGTCCGCCACCGCACGGTTTTGGGGGCCCTGGAGGCCCTCGTCGCCCGAGACGTCCTCGGAGAGGGACTCGAGTCCCAAAACCGTGCGGTGACCCCGAATCCCCACCGACTCACCACACTGTGTGGTCACCACACCGTTTGGGGGCCCCCGACAAATCCCAGTCGGGACTTCCGGGGACCCCGTCCTGAAACAATCCGGACGTCGCAGGTCTGGGATTCGGACCTGGTCCCACAGACAGGGGGCCTCTCTCTTGCTTCCTGGGCGTCGGGACCCACCTCCTTGCACCATGCCCATGGCAAGGCAGGCGATGATTTAGTATTCTCTGGCCCGTTGGCAAAAGAAGCGCTCGTGACCGTAAGATGACCCAGCGCCCCTCCCAGAAAGGGGGGGGTTAGCGAATCAGCAGCCCCAGCTAATCTTCGCAGGGCCTCCCGGCGCCAGGCGGTGCCAACGTATGAGCCTGTTTCTTTAGACTCTCACAGATTTACTTGCATGGCCGGGGGGGGGGCCTGAACCTGAAGCAGGCCGCACACGACTTCCACGTGCGGAAACCGCGCACGCCGAAGGGCGCTTGCACGCTCCTCTTCGATGGAAGAGGGGCGAGGGAGGGAGGGGGGGGGGGGGGGGGGGGGGCGAACACCATGCCAGTAAACTTGCCCGACTCCGAAGAACGGCAGGCTCCATTGGAGGAGCAGGCAAATAGCTGTACGAACGTCTGTCTTCTGAGGTCCGCGCGGCCCTCCTGGATCGGCGCCGGACCACCCTGACTCCGGATCCGCCCTACTTTGGGGAAATTCGTAAGTAGGGCTTGGAATTTCCGCCTTACTTTTCAAGCCCCGCTGACGCCAATTTCCGCCCTACTTTTCTGTAGCTGTTTATGTGGATTTCCGCCCTGTTTTATGATGGGTGCAGCAATTTCCGCCCTACTTGTTCGGCCTCTTCTATGTGGATTTCCAACGCAATTTTAAGGTGGAAAAAAGCCAAAAGTAGGGCGGATCCGGAGTCAGGGCATCCCCTCCTGGCGCACGGGGGGCGCCAGGAGGGACGGCGCCGGGCGCCGGTCGACGGCTCCGCGGAGCGTGCGGGGCCCTATCGTGGCCCAGATCGTGGACCCCCGGAGCCACTCGGGGCACGTGTGCCCCGCTCGTGGGCTCGCGGGTGCCATGGCAGTGGACACGCCAACCGCCCTGCCACGGAATGACATATGTCTTCAACACGTCTACTGCATGGTTTGAGCATGTCCGAGGCATGTCTACAACATGTCCTGGCACTTCCGAGACAGATCCAAATCGTGTTTAAGACATCTGGAACGTGTTTGGCAACGCGCCTCCTCTCCATCGATCGATCGTCTTCCACAATCATCAGCTAGGCTAGGCCAGATAGGACCCACCTTGGTATATCCACGGACAAACGCCCTATCCCCTTAGCACCCCCCCGCGCCCATCTCAGCTTTGGACGCCCGAAATGGGTACGGAAAAAATTGGTACAATGCCTAACAACAGATGATGTCCCAAGCCAACAGCGGCCGCTGTTGGGCAGACGGCCCTCTGTTTCAAATGGACACAGACCGCGGCGGCGCCGACAGCGAGTCCTGTTCAGAATGACCAGGAACTGCTGTTGGGCAGTGTACCCATTCTTTCCGTACCCATTTCGGGCGTCCAAATCAGCATGTGGGAGACGGGCCGCGAGGGAAACGAGTCCTGGACAGCGGGGCCCTCCCCCCAGGGCGAGCTTTCCATATGGCGAGCTGTTTTCTGACGGTCCCCGGGCGCGTGGAGGGCCCCGAGGGCCCGAACACAGGGAATTACTCCGACGGAAGGACCCCACATGAGAATCTCTTTAGCTTGCATGGGGGTATCCTCCTGCCCCTTCCCTTCTCCCACCTACTCTTGCCTCCTCGTTCTCCTCCTGTCTGCTCCTCCTCCTGCCTCAACCCCTGCCTCTTCCTCCTCTTCTTGCCTCCTCCACCTCCTCCCCCTCCCCCTCGTTATGCTTCCTCCCCCCCATTCCCCCTGCCCCTCCTGCCTCCTGCCTCCTCCTCCTGCTCTCCCTCTCTCCTTCCTCCTCCTCCTCCTCCTCCTCCTCATCCCCTGTCCTCCTCCTCTCCCTCTCCCTCATCCGCTCCTCCTCCTCCTCCTCCTCCTCCTCCTCCTCCTCCTCCTCCTCGTTTCCATATTCCTCCCCCCTCCTCCCCTCCTCCCTCCTCCTCCTCCTCCTCCTCCTGCCTCCTCCTTAGGCCTCCTGCCCCCTCCTGGGGCCTCCTGGGGCCTCTTGGGGCCTCCTGGAGCCTTCTGGGCCTTCCGGGACCTACTGGGGCCTCCTCGGGCATTCCTCCTCCTCCTTTTCCTCCTCGTCCTTCCTCCCCTCAGCCTCTTCCTCTTCCTGCTTTCCTGTCTCGTCCTGCATCATCCCTCCTCCTTTTCCTGGCAATCCTCCTCCTCCTCGTCCTCGTGCGGAACACGACCCAGAGGAAGCGCACGACGTGCGTCCCAGCCGATACGCGCCGGAGGACGACCCAGAGGAAGCGCGCGCCGGAGGATGACCCGGAGGAACCACGTGAGCTGCGGGACCCATAGGAAGGCTCCCGCCTGACGCGTCCTCACAATTCACTCACAGACGAGGGTCCCGCTTGATACTTCTTCCAAATTCAGACCTGAGGAGCCCAAAAGTGACGACAGTTACAGGAATCCGATGACCCGCTCGGATTAATAACATGATCTGCGGGCCCCATAGGGAGGGGGCTCCCGCCTGAGACTTGCTCGCAATTCACTGACAAACGAGGCTCCCGCCTGATACTTCCTCCAAATTCAGACCTGAGGAGCCCAAAAGTGACGACAGTTACAGGAATCCGATGACCCGCTCGGATTAATAACATGATCTGCGGGCCCCATAAGGAGGGGGCTCCCGCTTGAGACTTCCTCACAATTCACTCACAGACGAGGTTCCCGCTTGATACTTCCTCCAAATTCAGACCTGAGGATCCCAAAAGTGACGACAGTTACAGGAATCCGATGACCCGCTCGGATTAATAACATGATCTGCGGGCCCCATAGGGAGGGGGCTCCCGCCTGAGACTTCCTCACAATTCACTCACAGACGAGGCTCCCGCTTGATACGTCCTCCAAGTTCAGACCTGAGGAGTTCAAAAGTGATGACAGTTACAGGAATCCGATGACCCGCTCGGATTAATAACATGATCTGCGGGCCCCATAAAGAGGGGGTTCCCGCCTGAGACTTCCTCACAATTCACTCACAGACGAGGCTCCCGCTTGATACTTCCTCCAAATTCAAACCTGAGGAGCCCAAAAGTGACGACAGTTACAAGAATCCGATGACCCGCTCGGATTAGTAACATGATCTGCAGGCCCCATAAGGAGGGGGCTCCCGCCTGAGACGTGCTCGCAATTCACTGACAAACGAGGCTCCCGCCTGATACTTCCTACAAATTCAGACCTGAGGAGCCCAAAAGTGACGACAGTTACAGGAATCCGATGACCCGCTCGGATTAATAACATGATCTGCGGGCCCCATAGGGAGGGGGCTCCCGCCTAAGACTTCCTCGCAATTCACTCACAGACGAGGCTCCCGCTTGATACTTCCTCCAAATTCAGACCTGAGGAGCCCAAAAGCGACGACAGTTACAGGAATCCGATGACCCGCTTGGATTAGTAACATGATCTGCGGGCCCCATAAAGAGGGGGCTCCCGCCTGAGACTTCCTCACAATTCACTCACAGACGAGGCTCCCTCTTGGTGGATGATGGTGATGGGATGATGACGACGGTGTTTGATGATGATGATGATGATGATGATGATGATGATGATGATGATGATGATGATGATGATGATGATGATGATGATGATGATGATGATGATGATGATGATGATGATGATGATGATGATGATGATGATGATGATGATGATGATGATGATGATGATGGTGGTGGTGGTGATGATGACGACGTGATGATGATGATGGTGGTGATGATGAGTGCTGATGGTGAGTGATCGTGCGATTCTGATGGTAAATGGTGGTGATGATGATGGGGACGAAGTGGTGAGTCAGCGATGATGATGATGATGATGATGATGATGATGATGATGATGATGATGATGATGATGATGATGATCGTTCGATGCCGATGATGGTGAGTGATCGTGGATGGTGATGGTGATGCTGATGGTGATGATGATGATGAGTGGGGAGTGATGGTGATGGTGATGATGATGCGGAGGAGGAAGCAAAGAGGAGCAGAGGAGAGGGAGGAGGACGAGAGATCCTGCGCGGAGGGTGTGCAGAGAAAACAAGAACCCCACTTAGGATGTGGGGAAAAATCTCAGGACCCGCTTCCCTCAGGACCCGCTTCTCCCCTGGCGGCCTTGGCTGGGGATCTTCTGACCCGGGTCAGCAGGAAACCAAAAACCTGCAATGCTGGAACAAAAAACTGCAACGCAGGTTTTCGCAAACACAGGTCAGCCAACATGCGCGGCCGCCTCGCGGTCACAAGCGGCTCGCTGACCCAGGTCAGCCAGAGGGGGTCTTCGCAGGATCCTGCAGGATCTGGCGCTCTGGCTGACCCCCGTTTGCACGGGCCCCCGTCTCAAGGCTCCCGACCTGGCCCCCCCCCCCGCCCATCCCGGTGTCCCTCCCTCTTCGTCTGGCCCGAGGGCTACGGGGGCCAGGCCCGCACCTTGTCGGGGCGGCCCCAGGGGTGCCCGGGGTGGGGCTTGGACCACGGCGGCCGCGCGGCGAGCACCCTGACGCCCTGGCGTCGCAGAGTGGGGCTGCGGCCGGACTCTCGGGCCCCAGCGTCCCCAGACCCTCTCGAATCATGAGAACGTCACGGCGGGAGGTTTTTCGCCATTTTCGGCCCCTGGGGGGCCTGACCAGGCCTCGAGACCGTCAAAAAGTGACTCAGGAGGAAAATCTGGTCACGGGGAATTGGTCAAAACCTTTGGGGGTGCCGACGATATCAAAACATCATGACTCCGGGGTCTGGGTAAGACAAAACAGGGACAAACTCGGGGATATCTGAAATACGGCTGTTCCGGAAGGAAAGGAATGGAATGGAAAAGGAGGAGTGGGAGGGAGGGGGGGGGGAGGGGGAGGGGGACGGGGAGGGGGAGGGGGGTGAGGGGGATGAGGTGGGGAGAAAATAGGGGGGGAGAGGGGGAGCGAATGAGGGGGGGGGAGCATGAGGTGGGGAGGAGGAGGGGAGGGTGAGCTGGGGGGGGAGTGGGAAGGGGAGGGGGAGGAAGGGGGTGGAGGGGGAGGGGGAGAGAGGGGAGGAGGAGGGGGGGAGGAGGGAGGGGGGAGGAGGAGGAGGAGGAGGAGGAGGAGGAGGAGGAGGAGGAGGAGGAGGAGGAGGAGGACCTGTGGAAACCCAAGAGCCATCAACGATGTTGGAATAAACCCTCCCTCCAAGCTCCCTCTTCACAGGCCTCCACATCAGTTCATTTCCACTGAGGGACCTGCCCCGTTGGAAAACAACCGTTTGGAGACCTTGAAGCATACCAAAACAATATGCTCGGGATGCCAACGCCTCGGATCAGCTTGACTGTTGCGTCTTGACGGCTTTGAACCGTGCCAGAACACCACTCCTGAAACTTCAACACAGCGAATCAACGTAACTGTTTGGGCTCATCACACCAAACCCTTCCAAAAAACACAGTTCTTGGTACGCTGATCATGATAATTCGTGAAACTCCTGCACATGTTAAAACATGCGCAACGCCAAAGCGAGAGCCACATGTTGAAAAAGGAACTGGCCTCAATCCGTGAAACTCTTGCAATGTGTGTAAACGAATATGCGCGGCGCTAAGGCGAGAGCCACATTTTGAAAACCACCCGCCCTCAATCCGTGAAGCTCTTGCACATGTTTAAAACGAATGTGCGCGGCGCTAAGGCGAGAACCACACTTGAAAACCACCCACCCTCAATCCTCAATCCGTGAAGCTCTTGCACATGTTTAAAACGAATGTACGAGGCGCTACGGCGAGAGCCACATTTTGACAACCGCCCGCCCTCAATCCATGAAACTCTTGCAAATGTTTGAAACGAATGTGCGCGACGCTAAGGCAAGAGCTACATTTTGAAAACCACCTTCCCTCGATCCGTGAAGCTGTTGTATTTGTTTAAGCTTCAGTGTCATAAGTGGTGAGGGAGTCTCAGACGAAACACCAGGCCTGCCCTAAGTAAAAACTGGCCTCGGGGTGCGACAGAGAGAAATTGTTTATCAGGAGTAGAGGAGGAGGAAGAGGAAGAAGACCTGCCGCGGCCCTCTCGGAGGGTCCAGAGGGCTCTGAGAACGCTCCGGAACGCTCTGGAACGACTATGCCCCCGTCCGAAATCCGCCCGACGAAAGGCCTTCGCGGGCCGGTCCGGCTCGAGGAGTGCCGCAGGAGGATTGTGTTGTCGGCGGCGAGCGAGGGGGGGATTGAGAAGGAGAAGACCCTCTCAGAAGGCGGCCGGGCTTCACAGAAGCCCTCCGCTCTTCCGAGAGGTTTTCGGTGTCTGCGGGAAAGGCTCGGACAACTTCTCAGAGGGCCAGGGGACTTCCGAGCCTTCCGAGCAGGCCCACTTCCCCCCTTCGCTCGCCGCCGATGTTGGGGCTCCGGTTGGTGCCGCAGCTTTTTCGCGGTGGCAGATCTGGGGCCAGTGTTTCGTCCTGTGTCGGTTCTTGGGACAGCCCCAAGGCCCGGTCACAAGGGCCCCCATGAGACGAGAAGTAGCGGAACGACCTCCGCCGAAACCGTGTCCATGACTCGAGGAGGTCTGGGAATGCAGGGAAGGGGGTGGGGGGCGGGTGGCATGCGGAGGAGGGCGAGGTCGAGGGCGACGGCGCCGGAGTTCACGATCTTCCCGCGCTGCACCGAGCACCGCCCCAGCTACCGCCAGAGACGGCCCCCCGCCGCTGGCGCACACCGCCCCAGCCGCGATCGCAGCCGAGTGGCCTTGCACTGCTAAACCGAAACCGAGCTGCAAAAAACAATAGCAGCCTAACTTCTCCGAGGTCCACGCAGATCTCTCGGATCGGCGCTAAACATCCCTGGCGGCGCCTCGGGCGCCGCCCCCGGCGCGCTCCGCATGCCAGGGAGGGGGCCCAGCGCCGATCCAAGAAATCCAGCAAACCTCCGAGAAATTATGTTTTATGCCGTCCCCTCCTCCCCTCCTCCCCCTCCTCCTCCTCCTCCTCCTCCTCCTCCTCCTCCTCCTCCTCCTCCTCCTCCTCCTCTCCTCCTCCCTCTCCTCCTCCTCCTCCTCCTCCTCCTCCTCCTCCTCCCTCCTCCTCCTCCTCCTCCTCCTCCTCTTCTCCTCCTCCTCCTCCGCCTCCTCCTCCTCCTCCTCCTCCTCCTCCTCCTCCTCCTCCTCCTCCTCCTCCTCCTCCTCCTCCTCCTCCTCCTCCTCCTCCTCCTCCTCCTCCTCCTCCTCCCCCTCGTGGGGTATGATGGCATCCCAAGCCCGATATTCCACTGCATGCTCCTCCACATCCCTAATCAGGAAAACTCGCTTGGGCATCGTGTCTGGACGGGCTGATGGGGTACGCGAAGCGTCTAACATTCATTATGGCAGCAGCCGACCATGGCAGATTGGCAGTCAGCTGCTGCAGCAGGCAGTCCGACCTGACACTGACATCAGCCCACGGAGGCCTCGTTTGCAGCCTTGCCCCCTCCATTGCGCCATCGACGGCACGATAAAGTAGAGGCGTCATTGCTCAGCGACGGCCATTCAGTCGTGTTCAGTGATGGCTTGCCGATGTCAGGCGGGCTCGGCGCCACCACGGCTGGCCGATCAGAGCATACCCAGGCACGCGCTGCCAGAGCTCCGCACGCGGCGGGTGCGGCAGCTCCTTCCTGGACGCCTCGGTCACTCTGGCCGCTGCCGCCTCGGGAGCCCGGGCCCTCGGACCGCGACCAGCACTCGTCACAGTACCAGTCGGCGTGCTCGTCGACCCTGCCGTTGAGCCTCTCCTCGCCGCAGCCTGCACACTCCCGCTCGCGCCAGTCGCCCAAGTCGACGTCGCCGTCCAGCCTCGGCGCCTCGTGGGCGCCGTGCTTGAGGGCCTCTGTGGCCACTGGCCCGCGATCGCTCCTCTGTGGCACCGCCGCCACCACGCGCAGGGGGCCCTGCCCCCCCCCAACGTCTTGCCGCTGCTCCGCGCAGGAGCCCCCCTCGAGGGCCTCTGGGCCCACCAGGCTGGGGCCGCTGCCCCGTGCCGGCGCCCACCCCGCGCGCAGCGGGCTCCGATCGAGCTCCTCCGCGGCCTCCTCCTCGAGGAACAGGAGCCAGCACGCGTCGCAGTACCAGTCGCCGTGCTCGTCGCGCCGGCCGCTCTGCCTGACCAGCCCGCAGTCGTTGCACGGGGTGCCGGACTCGGCTGCACCCTCGTCCTCGCCGAGCAGGTCCGGATCCGAGGCCGCCGCCGGCCCCGCTGGCGTGCTCGGCCCGGCCGGCTCCTCCGGCCGCCGTGGCGGAGCGGCCGCCGGAGCGGCCAGGGCGGAGGCGGGCGAGGCGGCATCCGCTGCAGCTGGCGGGGCAGGTGCTGGCGCAGGCGCGGGTGCAGGCGCCGCTGGCCCAGGGGCCGCCAAAGGGTGCCCCCGGCCCAGAGGTGCCCCCCAGGACTTCGCGCCCCATTCTGGAGCCCCGTGGGGCCCTGGGCTCCGCGAGGGCTGGCCCTGGAGGCCGTGGGGACCTCCTTGTTGAAGTCCAGGGGGCACATTCTGAAAACAGGAGAAGAGGAAGAAGAAGAAATTGTAGTAATCAGAAGACGGCGAATCAGAAAAGAGCAATCAGCAAGGAGACAGATAAGACGAACACTAAAAGGGTGAACATGACATGGATATTACTACGAATGACATTGTCAATGACAAATAATAAACAAGGCAATGTTTTGGTGAGCATAGTCCCGGTAGTAGTAAGGATACCACTACTACTCACGATACCGATACGTGGCAATGGCAATCATAATACTACAATATTACCAATAATGCGAATGATACTGCACATGATGATACGTTAAAAGCAACAACTATATATGTATGCTATTAATACGAGTAGGAATGCGAACAACAACGAAGCATCAACTTTCCATGATCAGTGCTGGACCCTCCTCCCTGGCGGGCGGAGCGCGCCAGGGGCGGCGCCAGAGGCGCCGCCAGCGAGGCCCAGTGCCGATCCAAGAAATCTGCGCGGACCTCCGAAAATTCTGTGGTCATGCAGCGTCTCTTCCGCGAACCTTCTGGGCCATGAGAACACCTCTGGCAGCACCCGACGCTGGTGCAAGCTGCTGCTCCGCGTGCGGCGGCTGCAGGTGCTGCAGCTGCTGCAGCAAGTGCGGGTGGGCCGCGACGAGCTCGAGGAGCTGCTGCTCGGGGGGCAGCTCCCGCCGCTCCTGCGGCTGCGGCGCCAGCAGCACCTCCGTCCACCGCAGCTGCGTGTCGAGGTCCCTCCTCCGCACCGAGGGCTGCTGCCGAGGGGCGCCCCGGAGCCGAGCCAGCTGCTGCCGCAGCGGCGCGGGCCCCTGCATCGCCTCCGCGCGCAGCGCCGCCAGGTGCTGCTGCACCGCGGCCCGCCACTCCTCGTACTGCTGCCTGCCCAGCTCGAGGAGGTCCTCCACCGCTGGCAGCAGGAAGCCCCGGTCGTGGCCCATGAGCAGGTCCGCGAGGACCACGTTGGAGTGCTGCAGCCCGCCGGGCAGGCGGATCTCCAGGACCTCCAGCTGCGCCCGCCGCAGGACCTCCGCCATGCCCTGGTAGACCGCGGGCTGGATGCCGCTCGGGCCCCCGAGAACGAGGAGCACCTTCGCGATGGGGGCGCAGGGGCGCTTGCGCTGTGCAGGCGCGCCACCGGTGTCGAGGGTGAGCAGCTCCACACCGGCCTGGTCCAGGAGCAGTGCCACACAGCGGCCTCCCCTGTCGGCGGCTGACTGCTGCATTGCCGCTGCGTGGCTCGCGAGCCACTGGCTCCACTGGCCGTCGCGGAGGTCTTCCGTGTGCACCCCGCAGTCCCTGCTGTCCAGTAGGCCGCGGTCGACCTTGATAGCGGTGCCGAGGACGTTCTGCTCTGTCAGAGCCTTGGTGTTCTCGTCGATCAGCCAGTGGTGGAAGCTGCGGAGATCGTAGCGGATCGCAGAGCAGGGCGACAGGCAGGTGAAATCAACGAGCTCCTTGCGGAACACGCCGCCCTCCTTACCACACGAGCGGATGGACGCGAACAGGTTGTCCAGCCTGAATCGCCACGGCCTCCGCACCCCGTCGCACTGCTTGCAAAGGGACGGAGCGCCATGACTCTTGAGCGACACCGACACAGGATCGCCGCCCTCCCAATACAGCACGTGGAAGGTCGCCTTCATGCTGGCGCAGCGAGACCCTGAGACCCAGGCGTTGCAACGCGCTCACAACGGGCGATGTGTGGTCTTGCCCTGGGCCCCGGGAGCCTCCCAGATCGATCCGGCTCGAGACGTGGCCTAGAACGATGGGGTGTATAGGACCCCGGCCGTGGCTTCTCGCGAGGCTGCGATCCCTTCGCAACGCCGGATCTCGTCAGAGTGCGGAGCTCCGCGGCGCAAGCTCTGGTCATCGCTCGGACGTCCATTTCCTGTGCTTCTGTTTCGGTTTCGTGCGTGGCTGTTTCGCGAAACGATCCAGGATGCTCCTCGATGGTCCTCGCCGAAGGAAAACTGCACACGCCCGAGCGATGCCAGGAACTGCACGCGCGCCTCGGCCGCGGACTGCGGCGCTGCCCAGGCCATGCCGGGAGGCGCCCGGCGCCCCGGCCTGCACGAGGGCCCTCCGCGGCGCGGGCGAGAGGCAGGCGGGGGGGGGGGGGGGACGAGAGAGGGCCGGGGCACAGGGCCGCCGGGTCTTGGGCCAGCGGCGACGCGGGCGGATGAGGCCTCGGAGGCCGTGTCGGGGTCGCGCACGCGCCCACGGCCAGCAGCACCTCCACCGCCGAGCTGCACACGGCGGGGCCCCGTGGACACGCAGCGGCTCGCGACTCCAGGGTGTCGCGGCCGGCCGTCTTCGCTTCTGGGAGCCTGTTTCTTCGAAGTGGTGTTCTCGATATATCAGCACACGCACATGCGAAAACAACTCTGCAATCTACATATAATCCCACCAGCCCTCGGGGCGTAGGCGGTTTAACGAACTCTTGTCTTCTCTCTGGCAAAATCCGTTATTCCCCTGCTCGGGGAAGGGTTTACCTCTCCCTCTCCCCCCTCCCCTGGCCCTGGGAGGGGGTGGGGCTCGAGGCGTTAGAGCGTCCAAGATGGCCCAATATGACTCCAAGAAGACCTCTGAGAGCGCAAGATGGCAAGACGTCCTACGATACATGAAGATGGATCAAGATAGTCTCCAATACACCTCCAAGAAGCCTCAAGACGGCCCCAAGAGAGTTCCAAGTGCCCTTCGAGACCTCCAAGGACCTCCCCTAGAGGCTACAACGCCTGCAAGACTCAAGGAACGTGTTTTGCGTTCTCGCCGTTTGGCGTCCGATGGGCCTCGGAGGCCTCAGGATGGCCCGAAAAGTGGCCCAAGAGGGCCCCAAGACGGCCCCAAGAGCGCGCCAAGAGGGTCCCAAGATGTAAGGTTTGAGCCTCCCAGGGGGGGGGGAACTGAGTAGGGGACATCCGTTCTGAGCCATGAGGGCCAATACGGGCTCACGAGGCCGCCCAGACTCCCCCCAAAAGCCCTAAGAGGGCACCAAGACCCTCCGAAAGAGCCCCAAGAGTGCCCCGAAAGTGCCCCAAGAGGCCCCACGGGGACCCCAAGAGGGCCCCAAAATAGCATATCCCCGAAGCTCGACTTCCTCCTTCTCATCGTTCGCTCCTTCCTTCCTCCCAGCCTGCCTCCTCCTTGCAGTTCCTCATCCGTTTCGTGCCGCATTCCTCCTCCTCCTCATCATCCTTCTCCTCCTCCGCCTCCTCCTCCTCCTCTCCTCCTCCTCCTCCTCCTCCTCCTCCTCCTCCTCCTCCTCCTCTTCCTCCTCCTCCTCCTCCTCCTCCTCCTCCTCCCCCTTCTCCCCCATCCTCCTCCTCCTCCTCCTCCTCCTCCTCCTCCTCCTCCTCGTCCTCCTCCTCCTCCTCCTCCTCCTCCTCCTCCTCGTAACCCCCGAGATGGTCCCAGGAACTGTTTGAAGGCTCGTGAGACACATCGTGAGGGCACTTCTTCCGGTCGACACCCGGTGCTCCACGGATTTCCTTCGGGCCGGCGAGGGTCCACGGATTTCCTTCGGTCCGAACGATTGAAAAAATAGTGTTCTGCTATTTCTGCACAATTTTCTGACTGGAGGCGAACGATAAAAAATAGTTTTCCAGCCCGCGGCCGGTGTTTTCTGATCGTCATCCCGGGCGCCGCCGCATGAACACGGCCCCCGGGTCATTTATGAATCGTCATCCTCCAATGCGGGGGGGGACATTTGTTCAGTTATCTACCACATGTCCCCGCCGTTTCTGCGCCTCCGGCGCGCTTCCAGGGCGGCTGTTCTGCTGCATGCCTCTGCGTTTCCCTGATCCAGGCAAGTCGCCTGGCGATTGTTTCCTGCCTCCTTCCGCCCCAAATCCGGCTCCTCCTGTGCCTGCTCCTGCTCCAGTTCCTGATCCAGTTTGTCCTCCTCGTCCTCGTCCTCGACGTCCTCCTCCTCCTCCTCCTCCTCCTCCTCCTCCTCTCCTCCTCCTCCTCCTCCTCCTCCTTCCCCCTCCTCCCCCTCCTCCTCCTCCTCCGCCTCCTCCTCCCCCTCCCCTCCTCCTCCTCCTCTCCTCCTCCTCCTCCTCCTCCTCCTCCTCCTCCTCCTCCTCCTCCTCCTCCTCCTCCTCCCACCTCCTCCCTCCTCCTCCTCCTCCTCCTCCTCCTCCTCCTCCTCCTCCTCCTCCTCCTCCTCTCCTCCTCCTCCTCCTCCTCCTCCTCCTCCTCCTCCTCCTCCTCCTCCTCCTCCTCCTCCTCCTCCTCCTCCTCCTCCTCCTCCTCCTCCTCCTCCTTCCTCCTCCTCCTCCTCCTCCTCCTCCTCCTCCTCCTCCTCCTCCTCCTCCTCCTCCTCTCCTCCTCCTCCTCCTCCTCCTCCTCCTCCTCCTCCTCCTCCTCCTCCTCCTCCTCCTCCTCCTCCTCCTCCTCTCCTCCTCCTCCTCCTCCTCCTCCTCCTCCTCCTCCCCCCTCCTCCTCCTCCCTCCTCCTCCTCCTCCTCCTCCTCCTCCTCCTCCTCCTCCTCCTCCTCCTCCTCCTCCTCCTCGTACGCTCATCAAGATGGTCCTAGGAGGTGTTTTGAAGGGTCGTGAAACAAATCGTCCTGCTCCTGATCCATGCCAGCTGCCGTCGATAACTCTGGGACACGTTCGAAAGAACCACAAATACGGCTCAATCTGGCCGCCTTGCTATGGGTAAATTTGTCGACACCACTCAACAAATTTGCCCGCTCCTTACTGCCCCCCCCGCGCCACGCTTCCGCCATGGCCGTTTCACTGCGAGACGTGTCTCCATTTTGGTTATGGTCACGACCAGAGCATCGAATCTTGCACGGGTTGAAGCTTATGCGAAGCCCCCAAGCCTTTCCTCAGACGGCTGTCCCTGGCACGGGTTCGAAGCTTCTTCGGTGTTCCGCGGGTCCTTCTGAAAGGGGAGGAGAGGGCCCCTCGAGAACTCAAAAAAAAAACAGCGCAGCTACGCCGCTGCAGCCGCCGTGGCATGGCAACGTGCGTTCAGCAGCTCAACAGCTGTTCCCGCCTCGTCTGCGGCCCCGACAGGCTTCCACGCGGCGGCCATTCCACTGCCCACTTCTACGCTTCCCCTAGTCGGGCGGTTCGCCGGGCGATTGTTTCTGTCGGTTCTGGATGAAGTATACAAGTAAGTCAAGACTCCATGCATCTTGTAGGGCGCAAGGGTTCCAACAGGTCTCCGAGAAGGCACCCCAACAGAATCAAAGACAGCCGGGGCTCACGGGAACACGTGCACTGAGGCATTCAGCACACGCTCCCGCCGCTACAGCGGCCCCCGCACGCTTCCAAGGCCACGGGTCCACGGCATCCCGATTCGGGCAGCTCGTCTGGTAACCGCGCCTACCGATCCTGGATGCAACGCACAGTCAAAGTGCCCAATAATCCTTGAAGCCAAGTAGACGTGCAAAGTAACTCCAAGAAGTCGTCACAGAAGAACCGAATCAACTCGGGGCGGTTTGGGAGCACGTGTTCAGCAATTCAACAGCTGAGCCCGCCGCTTGTGCGGCCACCCACACGCTTCCAAGGCAACCGTTCCACAGCATGCTTCTACACTGTCAATTGTTTCTGGATGGGCTGGTGGGGATACCCGTTTTTGCGCCTGGCAAATGCGCCTGGCAATTGTTTCTGGATGGGCTGGCGGGGATACCCTTTTTGGTTAGCGGCTCCAAGGCGACCGCCAGGGAGCGGGAGCGACGTCCGGGGCGGCGGAACGGTGCGAATTTGCAAACACGGCCGCCAGTGTCGGCGAGCCAGCTCGCTGCAGTAGGACATGAAAGAAAACGCACGTGCAATAAGCAAATGCTCTACATTCAGGAGCGGGGAGTCGCCCTGCTGGCGCCAGTCCGCGCGGCCGACCTAACCCGGGCAGGTAGTCCCAGGGTACCACAGCCGTAACGATGTCAGCACAGACGGGGCAGAAGAGGCAAGAACCTACAGAGTGGTCACTCCGAGAACCGCACTGTTGCCCATGGTGGGGCCGACCAGCCAGCAGCTCCGAAACCACTCACGAGTCTGAACCACGATGATAGGACGCGCCTGCCCAAGCGTCAGTACCGCTGCCATCGGGCAGCGGGTGAGGGTGCCAAGGTACGCTGCAGCCGCCGCCAGGTGGAAGGCGTAAGTAGAGGTGCGGCCAGGACTGGACCTGCCACAACAAGACCACGATGAGAGTGGGTGAACTGCAGGTACAGAACCGCTCACACACTTCGCGGGCCGCTCCACAGCTGAAAGGGGGGGCCGGCGTGTCGTCATCGTACCGATGCCAGCAACAGGTCGGGGTCGCAACGATGAGCAAGAACACGCAGGCCCATGCCGGCGCACTGCAACTCGCGGAGACCGGATGCAGAACGGACCAGGCCGACGCGTTGAAGGCTGAACCACTCAGCGCGAGGACCGTCCCACCGCCGCGTGCGGGACCGGCTGGGACATAGGCAGAAGTCGAATGGGGGAAAACCGAGCCCCCACTCCACGAACCACGCTGATGCCCGTGGCGGGGCCAGTGCGCCAGCCATCGCCTTTGGACACCGCCAGGAAGGAGGCGAAGGCCCAAGCGCCAATGCTGCCGCCGAGCTGCAACGGCCGACGACCGTCGAGAAACGCTGCGTCCGCGGCTAGCCAGAGGGCGCCGGGGTGTAGTCAGGGATGAACCTGACCTCCGACACGGGGCAAGATGCCCAGAAGGCGAGGGAAGGGGAGAGGAGAAGGAGGAGGGGAGGCGCGGCCGACAGCCACAATCACATGTAATTGACGCAGGAGGTGAGGGGAACCACTTCCCACGGCAGTGGCGGTCTCGTGGGGGGGGGAGACCCGCAGCTGCGCTGGGCGGCACTGGCGCCTGCCCCCATGGTGGGCGGGCAGCGCAGTCCGCATCATTGAGCTGACTAGCTTCCTCATGGCCTCTTCTATCATTCCGACAATATCGCTTCGCGGTACTCGGGGGTGGGGGGTCAGTGGGCTGCACGCGGACCTCCGTAACCTGGGCGGTGCGCAGTGGGAGGACTATTCCAGTCAACTGCCCTCTGCCGACCAAAGTGGCTGTCGGGAGACAGCAAAGGGAGTGGGCCTGGGGAGGCGTCTGCGTCCGCCCCCAGTCCCAAGCGCGCAGTCCGCCGTT